TTGTGTTCTTGATACATTTTCCTTTATAGTCGCACAATGCCCGTAGTCGCTGAAAGTTTAGTATCCTTAGATAGAGCGGTGTGCACAATGAATATATAGGAATGAAAAAGAGAACAAAAATGGACGTTTTCACGATAAGCAGTATACGAAGAAATTGACAATATTGGACGTGACGTTACAAAATTTATATATAAGGTGGGGGCGACGTGAAACAGGCCACCTAATTGTCTTCTCTAACTATACTGGTACGAGAAAATTTTTATTCGTAATTTAAATGGTCTCAAATTTTTTTTCATAAATACTACTTTTTTCTTTTTCTACATACATAACAAGATGACCTTAAAATTTTAAACGAAACATGAAACTTTCTTTCATTTCTGCCATTTTTTCCATCAAAAAAAATTTTTCTTCTATCTCGTTTCACCCTTTGAATCCATTTAAATTACGTATAGAAATTTTCTCGTACTGTCGTAATTAGAGAAGATAATTAGGTGACCTGTTTTACCACCCTGTTACCTTTCCGAATTCTTGCGATTATCCCCTGAAACCCTGGTGCCCACGTGTATACACGCTATTCGATAATTTATCAAACACCGTGTTTCGTCATAGCTAAAAGCTATAATGTATTCCAAAAAAAAAAGACGATGTTAAAGAGGTACCATTACATCATCTTACTTGAGCAACCTTCGTGGAATTTCTGTACGATCGATATTTTTAGACTGCTCAATGTACTGGAGAAAAGAAACACTGTTTATATTCACTGTGCACGCATCGTATGCAACATCTCTGTGAATAATTCCTAGGTTCATTAAGGAACTCAGTCCGTCGGCACAGTGATCAGTCGGTTAATTAGGAAAGCAATCGAGAATGGATTTTCGAACTTAGATTCAATCAAGTTCGATGATTCTTTCTATTCTGTTTATTTTTTCTTTGTTTTTCTCTTTTTGTTTTTTCTGTAGTGTTCAATGTTAATTACGCTTGCGGATATTATTATTATCCATGCAGCAAATCCCTAACACAAAGCTCTCACAAGCCGTTACTGTTCAGTCATAGTGTTTACTCAATTTAAGATTTAATTTGCTCCATTTTTCATGTAATTTATCTTTGCACCTTGTTATTCTTATTAATTTACTTTCTTTACAGTCACCCCCTCCCCATTGTGCAGCGACTAAAAACATACAAAACAGAGCGTATAATTTCTCTTTAATTTCGTACGAACTAAGCCGCGTGGGCCATTTTAACGTCGCGTCGTGACCATAACGACGTTTTCTTTTAAGATTAATCCAAAACACGTTTTAATAATAATTTCATGCAACTTCTTTAACTTTACGCTTCTAGTGAAGATTGATCGTGAACGTTGCTTCTCGGCTTGGCGTGCTTTTTGATATTTTATGAAATAACTCGATCATCATTTTGACAATGGCTTTCTAAAAATATCTGTTCTGTATAAAACAATGTGAACAATTTACGGAATGTTTATTTCTTCGTTCGGAAGTGGTAAAGTGACACGAGAACGGTTGAATTTCGATGAATTTTTAGTATTGCTTAAATTTATTTTCGTATGTAACGTCAAATTTCGAATATTATGTACCTTTTGAGCACCATTTCTTTCGAGAAATTTTAGATTA